GTTGTCACTGTAAGTAATCTACTAACTTGACAATAGTTGTTTGTTTTCTGATTGGTTGAGTATTCCCTAATAATTTCTGATATATGTATTGTTGTCTTTACAGGGCCAATGTAAGAATAAAAAGGTTGGCAAACAGCATGGTGCTCAGAAGATTCTGAAGCTACTACATCCTCATCTCAAGTACTGGGGCTCCCTCATTAAAATTTATAAAAAGGGAGCTTCGATTAGAAACAAAGAGAAAAAGGTATCGCTATTCATCGCACGATTGTTCTTGTATTTATTGTATTAATAATGTATGTAGCGACTTGCAGTTACAAAGATGAGAGACGTAGGAGGGGCTGCCCAGCCTCAAAGTTTCCACCCAGTTTAAAGCTGATTTTGTGTCCCTTCATCCACCATATTAACCCCCTTGTCCATCCTTAAAATCCACTCTTAGTATTTAAACTATACCAATGTTATCACCCCCCCCCCATCCTTAACATGTCTACCACCCACCCTTAGTTTTCTACAGCTACAACCCTGAAAATCATGGACAAATTCATTCCTACAACTCCCCGAAGGACCATATTGTATCAGTTTTTCTTCCCAATCAGTGCATATGACTTATCTAGGATCGGCTGAGTGCGCATGATTTAGTTTGTGTACACTGTGCCTACTGTGTTTAGTCCTTACCCACCCTGACCATTATATATGCACTAAACAAATAATATATGGAATCAGAGCCTGAAATGATGTGCTTAATTTTTTAATTCAAATATTCTCTATTTTGGCAACAGGAAGCAGAGCAGAGCATCATAGGATTACAAGCAAAAACAAAAAACAAACCAAATGAGAAGATTCTCAACAAACTAAGAACTGAGATGCTAAAAATGTATGGAGATAAATTTCCGATGGTGAAGGAAGAAGAAAGTGAAGGAAAAGTAACAGAGCAGAACAATGAAGAAACGGAAGAAGAAGAATGTTCACATGCACCTGAGGGAGAAAACAAGAGTGATGAATAGTGAAGCAGCTGTCAGTGGAAAATATGTCAGTCATGTTGGTAGGCCATAGGTTTGTATGTCTCTGACACACCCATTGACCACACATGATACGGCGTAAAGCTTTACACTCGTTGCGTTGTACAACCTTCGGCGGATGAATCTAACTCTGCTTCCTATGAGCGTTAGACAACACGACGCCATCTTCTGATTGTCCATGAAAGTCTGAACGGATTGTCATTAATAACGATCCATTGCATTCGCATCGTGACGTTGCGTTCTCTATAGAATCGCGTCGGCCGACGACCGTTGCGCACAATAGGTGCCCGTCGTAAAAGACTTGCTGTTGCCCAAGCCCAACTGACACAAATCTCAAAACTTTAAGGTCAGCCTTTTTTTGGCAAATATATATTTTTCTTTACCAACCTAAGAAGAGCCACCTTGTATGATGTTTTAAAATGCCATTTTTTAAGCTTTAATTAATATATTAGATACCTTAACTATAAATTTTAGGCCTGTAACTACCATGTTATTTATCAAAATGCATTGAGCAACCTAGGCCATAGTAAAAAAAAATAAAGGAACAGACCAAACACCCCTGATTTTCAAATGTCAGTGTGCTGTGGGCAACACGACATTTGTTGTAATCAAATAATAATAGAGTGGAACTGTAGAATAATGGATTAAAGTCTTTTCTCATTTAGTGTAATGTACATATATTTTGATCAATTTCAGATTATTTATCTAAAAAACTAATCCAATAAAATGACTGATACTAAATCATGTGATTTAATTCGATTCAGGAAGACTGACAGAGAAAACTTGATCTAAGACTTAAGACATAAGACAGTTGTCAATTATATAAAAATAGACTGTGCTTTAATTATCGCTTGAATACCGAAATTTAAAATCCTACAACGCTCTACAAACAAGCCAAAGAGATTGTGTATTGCCATTGGGATGAATTATGTGCAGTAGATTGGACCGTCTCAGAATGTTAATCAAACTGAACAACTGACCTCTCAGAACAAGGCCAGGAATACGCCAATGTTGTCCCACAAATGCACATGTTTATGTAAATTTATACTACAGTTAAACTTGCCTAAGTCGACTTCGCCTAACTCAAATAATTTCTAAGTCGAACTTACTTTAAATGCCAAATTGTTATATTTTCCATTAATTAAGTCTGCAAGTCGAAAAAATTTTTCAGTGGCATTTTGGATTCGACTTAGACAAGTTCAACTGTATATCGTTTTGTGAGACCTTAGCAAAGGGGTGGGAAAGGTCCACAATATACACTCATACAGCTGCTAGGCAGCAGTCTGATTGTTCTCTGAAAAGGCTGCATCTGATGAATTAGGTACTGGACAGTAAGTACTGTACTAATATGTCTGTGAGCTTGATTATTATTCACTGAAAATGCTTCACATGGTAATGCATTTAGATGCTGGACAGCTCATGCTAATGATCAGTAAGATTGTCCAGATATGAATTAAGCTGCTTTATCACAGCCAATCAGAAGATAAGAGCGTAAAATATTTACATTTTCAACAGGCACAGAGATTATAATTGAATTGAAATCATGATTTTGGCTTGCAAGAGTGCTATATTAAAATTCCTTGTTTGTTGCCATGATGTGTAGGCTAAAAAGGGTAGATATTCACTTGCAAGTAGCAAGACAATTTAAAAGTACTGTTTAATTTAATGAAATACCGTAATGAACTTGTTCCCGATGATTTTGTATGCAACGTACGCAAACCGTAATGCGGTCTTTATCATTTAAAACTTTGGTGCTGTAAATTTTATGGGTAAAATAGATCTTGGCAGATTAATTGCCTTGTCAAATAAATTTCCATAAAGCTGACTTTTTATAGTATGATAATTAAACATGCAATAGACTGTAATGTAGGTCATAGCAAAGTTGTGGTTAAGCCCGTGGTCTTTCGAACCCACCATAAATTCAAAGGATATTTTTTAATGTTAATTCCTCCGCCTAAGCATCTTATAGTTGCATCTTTTGATATAGTTAGCAAGACAAATACCTGTAATTTGCCCATTCTGTATGTGGATGTGGTATGACTTCATCACGCCCATATGTATGGGATATGACATCGTCTTACCCATATATGAGAAATTCACACAAATAAGATATGTGGCAAAGACAAGCCAAACCAGTCACTCATCCCAATTGTGTTTCTGAGATAATGACCAAAACATGCTGGAATGTTAAAATTGTTGAAATCTATTTTATTGCACTAAACTAACATTTATATCTCTACATCATGCCATGCTGTTATTTTCCCTATTTTTAATGTTGAAACAATTTTAAATGATTTATTGATAGTTTCTGCCTGAGAAATGCCCAAAATCAAAAACTTTGAAGCCGATTTCTCAAATATTGTTCTTTAAACAGCTGTAAGTAAAATGCTTGTAACTTCATAAGGAAATGTCGGACTTAAATGATTCTTTTACCATTTTATAGCTCTCATTTTACTTTTTGACCCTGTACTAATAACTGAAGATTGATTTTTGCAACGAGTGACTGGATTGGCTTGTCTTTGCCACGTGTAGACACCATGGTCAGAAGTAACAGTGTCTGGTTAGGTTTAAAGTAGAGGGTGCTGTATTCCATTTACTACATTATGTCCTTTATAATTTGGATTTGTTTTATCAAGGCAATTCAACAAAAGGACGTACATCTCCACACTCGAACATAGCGTGTGCGTACAATCCTTTGATATTTACTGTGGCATCGACAATCCGATACTAGTTGCGAGTACAGCCGTCAATTATTAGTCTATGTGTGCCATACATTTTATGGTGTTAGTTATTATTTTATTAATTTGGGGTATCTCGCAATGTCTGTTACATCTGATTTCTTTTGACCACAGGCTTGTTAAATGCTTTCATAAACTGCAATTTGATTCGTGAAAATTTACCAACAAAATGAAAAGTTGTAACAATTGAAAATTTACGATTTTTATAAATTTCATATTCTTATATAACATTAAACTGTCATTTTGACAATGTTGGACTAAGATGCACAAAACGAACATTTGAGTAGATACAGAAAATTTTTTTTTTTTTCTGCGAAGGGAGTCTCATAAACAACAATACACCACAACATCGGTAAAATTAATGTTGAGATGAAGAATATAATTTCAGTCAAAATATAATTAGGCCTTTGTAGGCACTGCACCACGTGATTATCATAGCAACTAACACGCGCGTGGGTAATTCGTCACATGCTGATGGTTAATTATTGTGACGTTCAGTGTGTAGGGAAGCGCGGCGCCTAGAATGTCGATGCCAGAGTTATACATCAACCTTTGATGTCCCAAGATGTGCGTCCTTTTGTTGAATTGCCTTGGTTTGTTAACACAAGTGAGCCATTGTGGCAAATTTTGTGGTACAGAAAATGAAAAATGAGTTATTTATGTTTAGATAGATAACTATATAAGCTTTATTTTGGCCTTTGAATCTAGATCCTCTGGTACAACTGGAGTAAGAACATTTTTAATTTCAGATACTTTAAAGAAAATCACCGTTAAAGATAAATTTTGTGTTATTTATCCTATGCTACTATGAAATATACTGTATTAAACTTATCAGAAACATTGAAACCCAAGTCATTTGGTCACACCTCGCTTATATCTGAAACAAGCATACACTGATGAAAGGTTGAGTATTTTATACAGTACTTTACTATAGATAAAAATATAAGATGAGGCCAATTTTGTAGGAATGATGAATTATTATTAAAATATTTACTGCTAAATTTCATGCAATATGTTTTTCATATGAAATACAGTATTCAGTTTGAAAAAGAAAAATATGTATTAGAATTAGAGCATGAATAAAGGACTTAAAGCAATGTCTTGATTTTTAATATACAGTAGTCTGGTTACATCTTGGTTGCAATTTATGTTATTTAAGGGTCGTAAATTAGTTTATGCTTTTGGTAGAACGATAATTTTTTTTGGCAATATTTAAGGTACAGACAGAAAATTAAGCTTCATATGGATTTCTGGAATGTCTTTTTCTGACAGGTTTCAAAATGACAAGCTATTGTAAATAACACATCAACCTCATCTTCGTAATTATTTAGGAACATGGATGCTTGTACTATGTTTAAGGAAAGTAATTGTTTATAATGTATGTTGTTTGTGATGCTATGTTTATGGTCTTCCGGTCAAAGGATTATGGGTTTACAGTTCAGGCTTGTAGCGGCACATGTGCTATGAATCAGAATGACCAAGGATCTGGAGGACCACTAGCTTTATGATACCAGTGCTATGTAAGAATAAATAAACCAATAATTGCCAACTCATTTCAACAGAATGCTGTAATAAAGAATATTAAAACCAACCTAAGTTTTGCTTTGTAATTCATTTTATTGAGTTATGTATATTTAATTCACATGAGTTCCCTGATGATAAACTGTACTGGATAAAGTACTATCATTATGAATTATAAATAAATTATGGAGGAAACTAATATTATTTATATACAGTACACTACCCAAGTCAACAAGTTTACTTTAGTCATATATTAATTTATTGTACTGTACAATATATGGAATTATACTACAGTATTTAATTAATTAATGAATATAGTTAATACATTATCTCTGCCTATGAAATTAGTACTGATATTTACCAACATTATAAGAATGAAGTTCAATGGATAAAAACCTTTCAATTACAAAAAAAAAAAAATTGGTCCAACACATTTTAAACAGTACCCTCATGAATACCATGCAAATATCTGTAGTAAAAGACAAAAATAAAATGATCTAATCCACATACCTATTTAAATATACTGTAATAAAATATATCTATAGTATTATCTTATTAATATAGTTAATTTGCATTAAGGTTTTTTCCATATACAGTACAGGTACTGTAGCTTCACTAACCCAGTCTTCTAGTAATAACATGTTACTCTATTCATGATACATCCATCCAACAGAAAGTGCAATATTAAACACATAAAACTATTGTTTTAATACACTTCTGCTGATTTCATATTAAGTAACTGAATTTTATTTGCATTGCAAATTACTGCTATAAATTAGTTCAAAGGCTAACTGTAACTGATTCTTATGTCAATAAAAATAAAATTATAAAAAATGTATGTCATCGTATGAAAACATGCCAAAAACCCTTAAGAGGTCAATTTCACATTTTTAGTTAGTCTCCCCTGAATAGGGAAATACTCCTATTCAGGGGACACCCCTATTAAGGGGACACTTTATTTTGGTTCCAAAGGTGTCCCCTTAAGAGGGGTTCTACTGCATATAGCACAATGTACCACCTCTTCCACTCCTTGGGGACTAGTACAGCATACCAACAAACATTGACATTTGTAAATCAGGATCAATTTTCGACTGTACGTCTAGTATGAGACTTCACCTTGGCAAAATCTATGCCCGAGATTTTTAGGATGGTTGGGCTTTGGCAACAGAAAGTTGTTTTTAACTCCAATGAAAAGCTCTAGGAATACCCGGCTGTTTGATTAATAGAATCTTTTTTTGTGCTGACTGCTTAATAGATCATTTTTGTATGGGTAGCCATCATCATTAGCTCTAATGAAAAGCTCTAGAAACACTTGGCTGATTGATTAATAGATTTTTTTTAGCTTCGACAAGGAGCTCTAGGAATACCCGGCTGATTGATCTTTTTTGCTGATTGACTAATACATCTTTTTTGTATGGGCGGCCATTAGGGCATACTCTACCTCTATGCCTCTCTTATACTGCCCTTATCTACGAGACCTTGTTTTATTCAAAACCATGCGTAGTGTGAATTTATCAGGATGATGGTTTCATCTGATTAAATATACATCCATTGTTGGCCACCCACCTACAACTTGGAGCTGAACTTGGCAAGGTGGCGATCCTGTTTGAGTAGCTCTACAACATCGGTGGCACACCCCCAGCACAGGGTCAGACCAGCTCCACTGTGTCCATAGTTGTGAATTACCTAAAAATGCAAAGAATAAATTTTTAATACATTCAATTAAAACAATAGCGATAAAATACCAGTAGCAACAGGAACATGCTTTTTTTAATATTCTGTATTTGTTTTTCTTGTGATTTTAATGTTCGGAACTCTGCAATAAATTGTCGTACCTTTTGAAATTTTGCAGGATTGTATATCTAGACATTGTGATCATATGTGAAATTTTAATTACAACTGTTTATTGCAAAGTTATTAGCAATAATTACAGATTCTTTGTTTTGCCTCGGAAACAGGTCAGGCTCGGTATTGATGCAGGCAAGACATATTTTTGGAATTTATCACATTTGGGGCAAGCAGATGCATTAGCGAGTTTGTACATATGTCACTGTTAAGATTATTGATTTAAAAACACCAATAATCATTTGATTTTGCCTTGCCAAACTGCATTAGCTCAGGACAATTTTTGAATACCATTCCGAGGCAAAACAACGTATCTTCATTGTAGATACGTTGTTTTGCCGCGTAATCTTGTAGTTACGTTGTTTTGCCAAGGAAAACCACTAGATTTTAAGTTTTGTGCTTAAAGATAGGTTGTGCTATCTCTGAAATGACACAATATTGGGACCCGAAATGTTCACAGGTAATACAGACTTGTTTATAAACTCCCAAATGATATTTTCTCAAATTCGACAAAAATGTCAGTTATGTTGTTTTGCCTCCAGGCGGCCGTCTGGGAGAACAGTAACATTTTACTGATGAGGTAACCCAGTATAAAGAACAAATAAATAAATAAACAGATAAACAATAATAATACTGAATTTGTGTGTGGATATACATCAATCAATAAAAAAAAAATTTTAACATGAATACATTATTTAAAGATAAACTCTGTTGAGCTGAGACTTAAAAGATTCAAATTATATTTTTTTGGAATGTTAAAGAATGATTTTGCACAGCGTGGGTACAATAACCAGTACTTTCCTGACGTGAAACAGACGAAAAACAGACAAAAAAATGTATCAACATCTAAAGACACTTACAGGAATTGTTTTGCCATTAAATTGCATCATTTCTTTCTCAAGACGTAAACGTGTCCTTCCTGGCCGAAAACCAACCCAGTCTTCTATAAACTCTGAATTCTAAGCAAGAAAACATTATAAGTACTACTGATTATAAAAAGAACTTTCCAATATACTAATGTAACTATTCTTAAATGAATAATCACTATTCTCTGATATTAAATTTTCTAATGAATTTTAAATTTTCTAATTAGGAAAGACTATACTAATAAATCACTATTCTGCTGAATATTTATATTAATTATAATTAATATTCATAAACTCTACCATAGAACCACATTTGTTTCTTTACTGCTGCCCATTTTTTCCTTGAATGTAATCATATTCTAAATTTTTTTTTTTTTCTTTTTTAAACATCTTACTTTTAGACTCGGAACCAGCTGACAAGCTTCTTCCATTAACTTTTTCTTAGTCAACATATCTACTTCTTCATCGTAATTTCCTTTTTGATAAGTTCCGCCAATTGTCACGACCTCTGATCTGCAATATACAGTTGTCACATTTTATGAGACTACTAAAAGTGACAAAAAGGCTAAAAAAATTCAAATAAACCATTAATATTTTATGACAGTCCTTATTTTTTATGATGGTGATAAGATGTTGTCACAATCTGCCTACTGAAAAGTCCAAGAGACTTGAATCAAAATAAAAACACATTTGCAACTTTTTTCTAAAGAATCAAGAATATACAGTATGCCCAAAACTTTACTTACGTAGGAATAATGTAAGTCATCTCACTCATATCTATATAAAAATGTTTGACGAATGGTGCTTTGACCTAAAACAGAATTATTAAGGTTCAATAAATAAAATTTATATAAATACCATAATGAAGTAATAATCATAGTTTATCATTTACTGGCAATATAAGTTTTCTTGACTTTGTTCAACAGACATGATAAAGATAGATATATCTGACACCAGCATACACTATCAGACAAACTCTGATCAAACATTGTCTGTAATTTGCCCATATATGGGCATGATATAATATCATCATGCCCATATATGGATATATGACATCATCATGTCCATATATGGATATGATATGACATCATCATGTCCATATAAGGGCAATCCACACAAATTAGTCACATAAGAGTTAATAGTGTGAATACAGCATTAAATTTGCTTGACTCGACACTATTTGATCAGGTATGTCCAACAATTTGGTATCTATATTTGTGTGAGTTGATGTTCATTGCAAATTTTGAGCTTCTATCCTTCCAAGCCTGCTGGAAACAGACACATCCTGAGCCAAATTTCCATCTACTCAGTAGTGGTAGGTAGAGATAGAGCAGAGCATAGGAGGTATGTGTCAATACTGCAATATTCCTTAAATGGATTCCAATATTACGCTTACACTCTTGTCAAGTGATATACCTTAACAACTTTGCTATATAGCAATTTTAGTTTCATCATGTGGCAACCTGTTTAATCTGATCATGTGACAACAACTATAATCTGGTCATGTGACTTCTACTAATAAATACTGAATCACATCTGACCTTTATAACTTGACCTCGTACTGGGTACACTTCACTATCACTAACCAGTTCCTTAGATCCAAGTCCTGCGCAGTTAATGATGACATCATATTTACCTACAAACTTTAAAAAAAATGACAATCAGACAGACTATAGTTTCAAGTGTACATACTGTAGCTATGTCAAAGGCCAATGCATACAGTCAGTCATATAAAAATGGAATACTTTTTTTAAGCAAACAAAGAAATTACATTTCTATACACAATAGAAACCATATGAAACAGTTATATAGTTTAAACATTGATAGAATTAGGAATGGATCCTATTAATTTAAAGATACACTCTCTGTATGTAGGTATGTGTTGATCTAAAATATAAAACTCACAATCTTAACTTTTTAAAGTATGTAGTGTTATGTTTTACCAAAATGTTCCTACCTATTTTGCAATCAATCAATTCGGCTGGTAATCTATTTAATTTTTCTTTATTAGTGAAAACTGGATTATTTGCATCTGTGTCTCATTAGATGTTGAACATTTCCATGGGAAATTCACTGGTTTTTACTTAATGTTTTAGGCCAAGTTAAAAAAAAGTTTCTCGTCCTAATACTTTGAAAAACACAGAATGAGGGCACTTTTTGTTTCTTTTTTTTTACTCTGAGATGGCAAATCCAAGATGGTCGATGGGAAACTGCTGCTACTTTTTACTTTTACCAAATAGATACATTGAAAGCAAATAAAAGAAGCACTGGACATGATTCATACCATATGTATCCCCAGCCACGAACAATCGAGAGAGGAATTTTTACTGATATAATTTGGCCATATTGTCATACATTTCGTAAAATAAAGAAAATAATATAAAAAAAATTGGAGAGATAGAGAATATGGATGCGATGGATGGATGAGAAACTAGTAATTTTTTTATTTGGCTTTAAGCTCTATCCACACTATCAAATTTACTTTGACAAAAAAATGTGACATGCCCATATATAGTAATGCTATGCCTATATATGGTCATGGTGTGATGTCATCAGGCCCATATATGGGCATATCACACTTTTTTATCACACAAAATTTGAAAGTGTAGACAGAGCTTAATAGATGTTTTATATTTAGCAACACATGATATATTTTTACTGCACAAAATGCAGTGAAAGGCTGATCAACTACCTACCTCACTAAGCGACATTACTTTACGCCTTTCTGTTTTTCCTCTGTATTTCAGGAACCTGAATTAAGAGCCATGTGATAAAATTTATGAAATATTATTACCAAAAACAACATAAGTAACACACTAATATTAAAATTTTGAACATGTCCAAAATTAGCACCACGAGCTCAGAGCTGCTACGAGTAGGTTAGAGTTCTCCCCGAGCTTTCTGAATCGTCCTACGAGTTTTTGCCGAGTTAGCCGAGTTAGTAACTCGGCAAACTCTTGTAACTCGTATGCTGAAAAACCCACAGTGGGAGAGGGGCTTTATTAATAATAATAATATAATGAAAGTACAGTAATATAATTCAATATGATATTAAGATTGATAACTTACCTCTGTGTAAGCCATGCTAGAAACAGTTTGCCCTCCAACACATAGGTAGTAATAAAAGCAGATTCACTGTGGGATAACCAACAATCTCAATAAATATGGTAATTGTGATACGCTTAAAAAGTGCATGCACTAATATAGGGTTTCCTAATATATCATCAGTATGTTCTGAAAACTAAATTCAAGTGCAAAATAAACCACATTCATCCTTTTATTGCTACTGAACAACATGGCTTTATATCCGGTAGATCATGTGAGACAAATTTGGCTACCGTATATGAAGCCATAGAAAATAAAAAGCAATGTGATATCGTTTATACCGATTTCACTAAAGCTTTCGATAGAATACCTCACAATCTTCTTTTATTTAAACTTCATCAATTTGGAATTTGTGGTAATCTTCATACCTGGTTTAAGTGTTACTTGTATGGGAGACTCCAGAGAGTGGTATTTGAGGGGTCTGAATCTAGTCTCCTCCCTGTCCTCTCTGGAGTCCCCCAGGGTTCCATACTGGGCCCAATCTTATTTAACATTTACATAAATGAAATCCCACGGCTTTTCTTAAATTCCCAATGCCTTGCTTTCGCTGACGACCTCAAGATCTACAAAATCATCAAAACTCAGGAGGACTCGCGCGCGCTTCAGGAGGACATTGATCGTCTCTTCCAATGGACCACCGTTTGGAAACAGTCCCTGAAGCCTGAAAAATGTAAAATTTTGTCATGTTCCTTAAAGAAAAACCTTATAATATATGATTATAAAATTGATAGTAACATTTTAGAAAGGGTAAAAGCACATCGTGATCTTGATGTCCACATTGATGGAAACTTAACCTTTTCCACCCATGTGGACACCATTGTTAAAAAAGCAAACTGGCTGCTTGGACTAATGTGGAGAAATTGCAAACTTCTTACACCATCAGCAAAATTTACTCTATATGCATCAATAATTTACTCCATCCCTTGATTTCTGTTCAGTTATCTACAACTCAATATCTCATACTCATTCCATTAGAATAGACCGGATTCATAACAAATTCATGAAGTTCATTGGCCCAGCTGCCGGTTCGCTTAGTTGCGAAAAATTTTTACCATCGACTAGACGAAAACGAAACGATCTTATTTTTCTATTTAAATGTTTAAACTGTAAGTTTGATTGTAACCTTGTGTCAAATTTTTATTTTCATGTTCCTGTGCGCAGGCTTCGTACCAATCATTTGTTAAAAGTTCCGTACTCTCATGTTAATGTTTGTACTAATGGTATTTTTCGTCGTGTTGCACTTTCTTATAATAATCTAGTTCAAATTTTTCCTAATATTGATATTTTTAATTGTAATATTTCTATTTTTAATCTTATACTAAATACCGGTTTTTAATATATTATTACGATTTTTTTATGCTTTTTATGTTTTTTTTGTTTTTTTTTAAATTTTTATATTTTTATGAATGATATTGTATATTTTTATGGCGACTCTGTTATTGATGTTTTTGATACACTGTTGAGTCTTGAATAAATAAATAAAAATAAAAAAAATAAAAAAGATAAAAGATTTTTTTAATTAATTTGGAAAATGGAAACAAATGTTCATTGAATAAATTAAAGGAATAAATATCAGTAAATTGCAATAATGAAAACATTATATACATATAGTAATATATAAAGAGTAGAATGCATTAAACAAAGGTGTATAGTTGCTGTAAAAATGAATTTTAAAAAAATCATTCTTTTATTCGTCTTTATTCAAATTCGAAGTCAGAAACAGCAGCCGCAGTAGCACCACCCGACTTAACTACAACATGTAACGGACACATACAGATACAAACATCCTTAGAGCACTTAACTCTCAATATGAGGGTTATTCGAGGAGCCCACAGTAATTAGACTCCAATTCATACTTGACGCTGGCCAGGTTTGAACAAGAAGCAGGAACAATACTTCTCAGCAAACTGCTCATTTAATGGTAAATAACACACATTTTTTGGGTATTATAAGATATCCTATACCCTGCTGTAATGGGGTATATTATATTTAATTGGTACTCTATTTGTAAGTTACAGTTGCCATTTTAAAAAAGGAGGGTTTCTTTATCAAACTCAGTAACTCACTTGTATAATGAAACTTACTTAGATGTCCTTATTGTTTATTATGCTTTGTCTTATGATTTAGAAATCTTTCTTTATTCTGGATACTCAGTCAGTATTAGTACACTGTTCTTCCCTGAGGTCCAGGGTATGATCTTAAACTACTTTAAATTAAAAACAGAATTGATAAAGAAATATATAAGTTACATAAATATAAGAAGCAGAAAAAATTTGATCACAAGTGCGAGACATATCAGTAGGGAAATAGAATGAATATTACTGCGGATATCTGATGATAAATTGTTCCATAAATTAACGGATCGGTATTTAAATGTTCTTTTTCCAAAATCATTCTGCCATTTTGGTGAGATCAAAGTGTTTTTTTATTTGCTTCTTGTATTTATGTTATGATTAATAATGCTTAGTGGTGATTGGCTTATATAGATGATGCTATAAGCTGATTGGCTCATGAGATACATGAGATTATACAATAATTTTATTGTTTAATTTTTTTTAATTGAGCATTAATGTTTGGTGGCAAATTTGATATGAATCGAATCTCGTTATTCTTCCGGTTAAGGGACGAAATCAACTGTAACATTTGTTGTGCTGAAAAGATATTAAACTCAGTTTTCAAAGATATAAACAATTGTGTTGGCTGAATGTATGTGTACTTTTCAACCGTTAAAAGTGAAGGCGAAGATACTGCGTGTGCTGATGGTGTGATAAACGAAGTGACACTACAGAAGAAAACTTATTGTGTTAATCTAACATACAAGAAACTAGAAGCATAATTGACTATGAAAAGCATAGTAATATTACATGATACCTGCGAACCACTGGGCTATAGCTACAGCTCGAAAAGTTAAGATGACAGCTTTTACTTCACCTTTTGTTCGAGGGCATTATCTTCCTTATCTCGTCTTTGCTTAACGTCTGATGTGTAAGGAATATGTCTTTTAAATTTGAACAGGTCTAAAGAATAAAGAAAAATGCTATCACCACCACCACATTCATCATCAGCATAGGTATTTTTTTCAGTACAAAAGGTCCTTTATTATGAGCCTGTGATCTATTTAGCATGAACAAAGAAAGTAATTCAAAAATTGAGCTAACCATCATCGTTACAAACTTTGTCATCATTATTCAATTTTACTGTATAAGCTATGAGTGCCATCAAGGTCAATTATCTGCAGCAACAATAATTACTTACAATGGTTATATATACAATGGTTATATATACAATAAATACAAGCAAGATAATAATAAAATTATTAAATAAAAGGATTTTTCACTTAATGGACCAATTAAATTGGTGTTAAAATTATATTAAATTATGGCTTGCTTCAAATCAGAAGTTATGGCGGTGGATGGGTCAATGTTTAGAGTATAACTTAGAGATAGTGAATAAGGAATGAGGAGAACTTTGAAATTGAGACATTTTTGCATTGAATCGGAGATGGGATGATTGACGGTTTTTACGAAGAGACATACCCATTGTTCTTTCAGGTGAAAGGAAAAAGTTAAGCGGATGATCAGAAGATTGGACAATTTTGCAAATAAATTTAAGAAGAAAGTACTTTTGTCTTTTTTCAGTAGGTGTGATGTTAAATTGTGTTATCATTAAAACAAAAGTTGTGTCTTCAACCTCAAGGTCAGTGTTTCAATCTCTCATTGTGCACTTTGCTTGTGTCTTTGAGCAAGGCACTTTATCTGTGCCAATATGGCAGCAACACTTATTCAAGGGCGCCCAATGACCAGGGAAAATAGAAAATTTTGTAACCTAAATGAAAGGGACTGCACAAATACCAAATAACAAACAAAATATCCACAGGGGTAAAATTAATCCATGGTTAAATTATCAATTAATATATTAATTAAAGATTGAAAAGTGGTCTTTTTAATCAAGTATTTTAAAAAACTCCAGGAACTAGATTTTTAGGATGTTTGGGTCATTCATGTATTGTACATGCAACGTAGGTAGCATGTACCTAGGAATTCAGTTAAAAAATGTTGCTTGACCTCTCCCCCACTAATCAATGATATAGAAAGAAACTTACAGCATCCCCAAGGTAGAACCCTGAATGTGGAAACACACCAGCTGTAGCTGCTTCCCCAGTGTTTGCCAAACTCCTACAAAATTCCAAGGTAGCCTTGGTCCATTTCCTATACAGAAAATTAAGACAAAAGTGTGATCGATGTTGAGTGGAGTCATAGTTTGATGGTCAAGATGTTTGTTTCCAATATCGGGGTCCTGGTTCAATCCAGTAAGATTTTATTCGCTGCTTTAAATTTATCCTGTCTCTTGGGCAAAGATGGTTGCACAGGTTGTTCAAACAGATTATTATTTGGTCAAACTGACAATGGACCTATTTTTAATAGGTCCATAGTCTAACCAAGTAAATGATTAGTTAGACCAATCTAAAACTGATAGGAAAATAGTGACCATTAGGAGCTATTATACTGCCTTCAAAAACTGCCTTCAGGATATTTTTCAAGCAATAATGCTCCTTCAATTCACTAATATTTTCCAATAGCGCCCTAAAAATGTATTGCTCTATTATCATCATCAGTTGCAGATCCAAGAATTTGAAACAGAGGGGGCCCAGGAAAGGAATTTCACAGGTGGAAGGTCATACCACCTCAACCCCACCTTGGTTGGGATTGAGGTCAGAAATTTTTTATGATTTTCGTGCCTTGCTCTAGATGGCTAGATGGCACTTAGGCAATTTGAATATAATTTTCTTTTTTTCTCCAATTTTTATTAATTTTGAAAAATCATAAAGGCATTACAGTTGGTAACTTTACTTACGCAATTAATTCTATTGGTGTGTCTGACACCCCAAAAGGGAAGCATAATCCTGCTGCCTTGTCCCCCGTTGTGTCAGGAGTAAACAACTCGGAAACAATTGTAGCTTCCACATTAGGCAGCGATTCAAGAATGTTGACACCACAGCTAAATCCATTGATCCCACCTCCTACAATAACAACTTTAACTTGTGGGGCCATCTGCAAAAAAATGAGTAGATAATAATATGGATAGTGAGAATTAAAAAAAAAATATTTATGCTGGTTACATGCCCTGAGGTCAAGAGGCTCTTCCTGACTTAACCATTTGTGGCAAAGAAAAGCTAAAACAGTCACTTGTCGCAAATCACTTTTTCAGAGATAATGGCCAAAGTATGCTGGAATGTCAACATTTTTGAAATCTATTTTATAACACTAAACTAACATTTATATACCAAAAATCATGGTATGCTGTTACTTTCCTAATTTTAATGTTAAAACAACAATTTTTAACGATTTGGTGATGATTTTTGCCTAAGAAATGCTGTATGTTTAAACTCCTGTAACTTCATAACAAAGAGTCAGATTTACATGATTCTTTTACCATTTTATAGCCCTCATTTTACTGACCTTGTATTATTAATAACTAAAAATAAATTTTTCTGACCAGTGACTGGTTTGGCTTGTCTTTGCCACATTTATAAACCTTAAGTATGGAGAAAGTACAGTATATAAAAATTATCAATACATATACATTCATGTATTGATGTATAATTTTAACACAGGTAATATGATTTTTTAAACTGAGCATCACTCTTGAACGCCGTACTCGCACAAGTTTTTGACTCTTTTTGAGGGGCGCTTATTCAAACAGGGCGCTCATGAAAAGAATGTTGGTGGTGTTTACACAACAGCAGATGAAATTATTGGTGTTGTTGGTGGCGGGTGTAAGCGTGTTGGCCATCTGCCAATTCAGATTAACAGAATCATTGCAGGGTTTCTTGCTTAGATATGAGAGAGTGATGAGGTCAGTTTATTTTTGTTGACTGAAAATGACCAGACAGTATTTTAAGTTTTAGATATTAACTTAACAAAAACAACAACGGGATTCTAAAGATGCATCAAAACTGAAAACCACGTTAAACTTAATGGAGACTGATAGACCGACAGATGGATAGATGTACTGACTGACTGACAATGCTAAGATGCAAATAGTTGGTGATATACTGTACTGCTGTACTTTATGATAGAATTATTTTGGGAATAGGCCTTCTTCACGCTGCGGTAGACATCTTTGATTGATGACAAACAGTGCTGAGCAGCGAAGCGTAACCAATAGAAATAACATAGCGTTTCGACCATATTTTCGGAGGTCATGTTACTTACAAAATCATAAATCCTTAACGGAGGGCCGTGTCAACATATATTTTTCATTAAAACGTTCGCAAAGGATATACTGTAGCTACGTACTGTATGAATAAAAAAAATTTGTTTAGTCTGTCAAAACTTAACTGGAAAATGGAAGACCAATTTTGTTGACACAACCCTTCATTAAGGATATATGATTTTTTGAGTAACATGACCTCCGAAAATATGGCCGAAACGCTATATTATTTGTTGGTTACGCTTCACTGCTCAGCATTGTTTGTCACTGATCGAAGATGTCTACCGCAGCGTGAAAAAGGTCTATCAATTGAATTTTTTTAGGCGCTTATTCAAATGGGGCGTTTATTCGTGTGAGTACGGTAATTAAGCGCCGCGGATTATTCAAGCACTTATGGTGGGATCCATGATACATCATCATGGATGCGGAGTTGTAAATCATATTGCTGTGTATATATAGGCCCCGGGCCTAGAGCCATTATATAAAACACTGCAAAATGTCTGATCAACAATGAAAAGTATGTCCACCACCCATTATACTGCGCGCATCCCACCCATTATGATTCTGAATGAACAACCCAGACACAATTTGAATGGTTGAAAACAAAAAAGGCCAATTAACTTCATTTGGTAACCATTCATTAACAATTATTATTACTATTATTATTATTATTATTGTTTTATTAGAGGAAGTGGATATATTTACGTCGTTGTAAACAAATCAGTAAACGATATATTTACGTAAATGAAACAACGCATGCGCAGTCATACTTTAATAAACTTGCATTTTCAGCACTGCGTGGCCTCCAAGCCGCGGGGATTCCCCCAAGTTCACCAAGGCATTGCTTAATTTATAATTTTGTTTTTTTATTTTTTATTAAACGTAATTTAATTTTCTACAACAGTACAGTATGTAGTTTAATCACTAAATATATTATTAAATCATTGTGTTATCTTTTCAAATAAAAGTGATATTATGAGCTGAAAATGTTACGTTCATTTTAATCAATCATTTGTTGAATGAACACACTTGACCTAAATACAAGGCCTAGGCCTACGCGAGGTTTCCTTGCTAAAACTCAATTACCACGAAATCAAGAAGATATTTTTCTAGGCCTACCTGTATTGTTATACGATAGTCAATCATCACAAATTAAATAACCATCTTAATGTTTTCATTCAAACAAATTTGCTCACGTCGTCACTAACAAAAACCACATCGTTATAGTCTTTAGTCGGGTTGAGCAGAGCCCCAATCGATCGCGAAGAACATACAGGAAGACCACGTTTGGAGAGCACACGATCCACTCTACAAAGTACTGTGCTATGAAGCAAGAAGTAAACAACGAATAATAATATGCGTGTGTTTTTTAATAATAATAACGATTTTTAAAGCGTAAGATATTTGTAAGATATTTAATCATTACAAAAATGTGAGACCAGGGAGATGTAAAAAATACATAAAATACATCTCTCTGGTAAGACAAAACAAATATTTTTAATGTTTTATTCAAACATATTTTCCCATGTAGTCTGATTACTAACAAAACAACATTGGCATGCTGTGCATGCGTCTACATTGTATTAGCCATGAATTTGATCCAACTCGGCCACAAGTCAACTCGGCCACAAGTCAACTCGGCCACAAATCAACTCGGCCACAAGTCAACTCGGCCACAATTATTATTATTGCTGCTATTATTGTTGTTATTATTATTGTTGTTTTTATTACCATTAGTTTTAATATTAATTATTAGTCTTAGCATTAAAATTATGTATTGTTTAAATTTTTGCTGATTATTGTTACCATATAAATAATACAAAATTCTTGATTTTTTTATTCATATTATTATTATTATTATATATTAGTCTTAATATTAATTATTATTTTAATAGTAATTTTTAAAATATTGTTATTGGTGTTTTATTGGTATTTTTTCATATTATTATTATTATTATTGTTATTATTGTTGTTGTCACCTTTATTATCGATATTATTACCCTATTATTACTAAGTAGGCCTAAAACAGTAGTATTATAAATATCATCATTATTTATTATTATCATCATATTATTATTATTACTAATTAGTATTTGACTATTATTATAAAAATAAACATTATCTTTAATTTATTATTGCTGTTATTATTGCTATTATCACCTTCAATGTTATTATCACTAATTAGTAATTATTAAAATATATATTTAAATATCGTTATTACCATATTATTATTACTATTAGTCTTGTTAAAATAAATATTACTATTATTATTGTTGTTGTTATCACCTTTATTATCATTATTATGACTAATTTAGTATTATTAAAGTAAATATTTGAAAAGGACCGACATGTCACTGGTGATTCACGTTATTGGATGCATCCTTGTCACTGACGGGTTTCAAACATAGCCCCCAATGGTCGAACAAATATGAAGGACTGAAGTTTGTCACTCAACAATACCAATTAGACCGTGGGTTGAGGATCGAAAACGTTCAATTCTGTGACCCACCAATCCGGGCTACCTGGCTTTTGCACAAAAATGTCAATACTATTAAATTGTAACATAATTTGATTGTCGGCAATCGTGAATTTGGGGAAACTGTAACCAAAAATGAGAATTTATATCAAAAGTTGCTACGTAACTATAGCCAATCAGAAGACGACTAACAATGAAGTTTGGCTTAGCTGCAAGGCCCTCAGCCAATCGCAAACTACCTATGCCGTTTGTTCAATGTAAATAGTAAACAACACACTCCACTTGCAAGTATGGCGTTGGCCAGGGGTTCTTCAAATGATAAATCTGAGCCGGTTTCAGGCATATTTTTGTGATACATGTTGTAAGAACCTAGAGTATGGTTGTGTCATTAAGCATAAACAACTTAAAAGAAATTTAAGAATGTGCAACTCTGTGGAAAACAACAAATACGAGTCCTCAGTAAGGCCTTAAGTTTCCGTCGAAGCGAATAGCCTACATATAACGAAGGGGATCTGAGGG